CGTTGTTCCTCACTACGAAGCTTTGCGACCGCTTCCTCAACAGTCTTGGGATACAGCGTAGCCCCGCGCACGCCCTCAGTATCTAGCCCGATACGATCCCGCTTGACATCAAGACGACGTTGAGCGACTTCCACCATTGAAATATTCAGCCATGATAGCTTGCGCATAGTGCGGATTGTACGCTCTGCCTGCTCGAGACAGGGAGAGAATGTGCACAGATAAGCGGGTGACTCAGGATCGAGAGCCGATTCCTGTCCAGGGGGCGGATTGCGCACGAGATGTTTCAGTGCGAGCCAGGGAGCCGGAAGATCCAGGAAGATGGCGCTGGCCTTGGGCGATTTGCCGGTTTTGGGGTCGCCTAGCAGAAATCCGTCCTCGTAGACATCGCGGTGCGTAGCCTCCACTATCCCATCGAGACCGTGGTCTCTGAGTTCCTGCTGCACTTTGGCCGCGCGCAGTTCATGGAATTCGAAACTGCATACCTTGCCTAGCCGTCGCCGTTTGGTCGCTTCTTCTGTCCCGGGATACCCGTTGAAAACGGCGCGAGCGGAGGCGTGTGTGAAAGAACCGCTGCCGGCTCCAGCTTCGATAAGCGTACACCCCGGGCGTACGCGGAGTCGGTGGAGGATGTAGCTGTAGTCTGGGGTGTAGACGACCTGCGTGCGGTGCGGAAGAGATATGGTCCAGGCTTCGGGGGTCGGGGCGAGGATGTGTAGGAACCCGCTCTCTGCAGAGACGGGGGCTCTGAATGATGGCTTCTTCTTCTCTTCCTCTGCGCCAGTTGTTGTTGCCTCCGCATCAAGCTCCTCGGCCTTGCGCTTAGCGGATTGGTTGCGACCGCGCGAGCCTGTGTCGACTTTTGAAGCGACAACCTGCGCGCCCCAGGCTTGCCCAATCAGAGTGCTGTGTGGGAATGAGCCAAAGCGGGTGTTTGTGACCTTGCCTTCCCAATAGCCTTTGTTCTCATCGTCATGGTCGCGGAGGATTGTCGGAACGATCTGGTCGCGACGCAGCTGCAAGAGGGCGAGGCTATCTGTGCCAGCTACGGTATTCCGGGTGAGAAATGGGGAAGTCATGATGAGCGGTTTTAGTTAGGACAATGTGTATGGACAATCCCTAATTTGAGGCTGGACCTCGTTGCCTCTCCGCAAAGAAAAAAAAGGCTGTCATGCTCACTCCCTGATCGGGCTATGGATTAGGGTTCAGGGCTCGATACCCCCATCCCCTTACCGCCAATCACAGCAAGTCCGCAGTTGATGGATGAGTCGATCTGGTCCTGACAAGAGCCCCTCCTATTGCCTTTGTTTCTCTCTTTATGCTCTCCTCCCGATCCTCTCTTCTTCCCCTTCTTTTCCGTTCGCCGTCCAAACATCGGGTTTTATTGTCGGTTACTTCTTTCAGTTCCATGTCTTCTCGCCAACAGCCGCCATGGCGGCAACCGGCCTCCAGCCCGGACGCGCAACTGCCTCCGTTGAAGGTGTGGAACTCGTTGACCAAGTCCAAGACCCCCTTCGTCCCGATAGACCCCGCGGGCAAGAAAGTTCTGTGGTATGCGTGCGGACCGACTGTTTACGACGATGCGCATCTTGGACATGCCCGAAACTACGTTAGCACCGATATTATTCGGCGAATTATGCGCGACTACTTCAAGTTTGATGTCAACTTCGTTATGAACATAACAGACGTGGATGACAAGGTATGACTCATAGTTGAGTTTACTGATACAACCTCAAGCGTGGTGACTCACCAATTGTATAGATCATCCTCCGCGCCAGACAACAGCACCTGTTTAACGAATTTGTCGCCGCCAACCCTACGATTACCTCGGCGGTTCTAGATACTGTCAAGAGTGCCTTCGTTGCCTACTTAAAAAAGAACCTTCCCTTGCTCGACTCCGAGCTCCCTCCGTCGCGGTACCAGAATGAGGTTGAAAAAACTTATGCGACAATCTTGAACGGTGGAGCCTTGCCAGGAAACGAGAAGGCAGGTGATGATGAGGCCAAGGTTAAGATGCATATCAAGACGGCTGCCTCGGCTGCAAAAGTCATCGCGCAGGCGGAGGCCCGTGATGGTTCGAGCACAGAACCTGCTCTTTTCGCCGAGTCATTCTATTCGAACGCGCAGGATCTTATTTTGCCTTACCTCGATGCCCTGAAGGGCGCATTAGTTGATGCGAACGATCACGGCATCTTCACCAAGTTGACTAAGAGATATGAGGACCGGTTCATTAAGGATATGCGGGATTTGAACGTCCTTGACCCCACCGAATTGACTCGCGTGACGGAATATGGTGATGAGATTGCCGCTTTCGTGGATCGGATTGTTAAGAACAACTTCGGATACGCAACAAAGGATGGATCGGTGTACTTCGACATCAATGCCTTCGAAGCTGCGGGCTACCCGTACGCTCGGCTTGAGCCATGGAGTCGGTCAGACAACAAGTTGGCTGCAGAGGGCGAAGGGTCTTTGGCCAGCAAAACGACAGAGAAGCGCGGTGCTTCCGACTTCGCTCTTTGGAAGTCGTCTAAGCCAGGCGAGCCAGCCTGGTCCAGTACCTGGGGTAAGGGCCGCCCTGGTTGGCACATCGAATGCTCGGCCATGGCATCAGCCCGGCTGGGCAACCAGATGGATATTCACTCCGGTGGTATTGATCTTGCCTTCCCGCACCACGACAATGAGCTTGCCCAGAGTGAGGCATACTGGCACGGTGAGCACAAGCATGACCAATGGGTTAACTACTTCCTTCACATGGGCCATCTGTCCATTCAAGGATCCAAGATGTCCAAGTCGTTGAAGAACTTCACAACCATCCGAGAAGCGCTTGATCGCAAAGACTGGACGCCAAGAAGTCTGCGCATTGTTTTCCTCCTGGGTGGCTGGAAAGACGGCGTTGAGATCACAGAGGATCTGGTAAACACTGGCAGCTCATGGGAGGAGAAGGTGAACAACTTTTTCCTCAAGGTGAAGGATCCTGCGGCTCTTCAGTCGTCAGGCACTGACACCACCTTCGCTGCTGATTTGGACGCGACCAAGAAGGCAGTCAACGGCCAGCTCTGTGATTCATTCAACACTCCTGCTGTCATGGCGTCGATCTCAGAACTTATCTCCAAGTTCAATATTGTCGACAAGGCCACCGTGCCCTCTTCAGACGTTCAGGCTGCAGCCCATTGGGTTACCTCCATGGTGAACATTTTCGGACTTAACGGCACTGCCTCGGCTGATAGCACTGAAATCGGATGGTCTGGTATTGATATCCCCGAGGAGGCCAAGCCCTACCTGTATCCTCTGTCAGCTATGCGTGACACGCTTCGTGAAGCTGCGCGGTCCAAGGCTGGAATCTCCGCCAAGGATATTGAGGCGGCAGTTGCCCAAATATCGGCACCTGAAGAGGCTTCCGAATCTGCCAAGCCATATGCTGAACTTTTCTCCAACTTCCGGAACAAAGTTGCGTCCTTGGGGTCATCTGATTCTATTGGCAAGGATATTCTGTCCCTGTGCGACCGGGTGCGAGACATTGACCTCTTTGATGTCGGTATTGCCCTCGAAGATCGGGAGAACCAACCTGCCTTGGTCCGACCTGTCACCCAAGAGATGCTTAAGGCGCGGGAAGAGAAAGAAACTCGAGCTCTCCAAAAGCAGGCCGAGAAGCTGAAGAAGGAGCAAGAAGCTCTCAAAAAAGCAGAGAAGGGCAAGCTGAGCCACCTGGAGATGTTCCGGACTAATGAGTACAGCGCCTGGGACAATGAAGGCATGCCTACCCGCGATGCTGCCGGCGAGGAGATCACCAAGAGCCGGGCGAAGAAGCTTCGCAAGGACTGGGAGCGCCAGAAGAAGGCACACGAGGCATGGTTGGCTAGTCAGGCCAAATAGAGACCAAAAACAAAAGAGAACATTTGTTTTTTTCAAATATCTAGTTTGACATGTTTCAGGGG